TGTGTGTGCGTGTGTATGTGGTTGATGCAAGTGACGGACGGGAGACGTGCATGTGTATGGTAGCATCATAACCAGCATTGTTTCGATTATATGCGTACACATGTATTAACTTGTCTGTATTCTATATATTGTGTATATAGATGAACGGAATATCCAGCAATAACTTGACGTTTATAAAATAGTGGCTTGTTTCGAAACGTAAGCTTTATCGGACAATCGGAGCTCTCGTAGAGTCGAAATACGTATTTACTGAATTCCGCAGTCGCATTCCCAACGATCTCCCCTACTATGAGTGTAAGCCTCAACTCTGACCTTGTATTTCCCTACAGTCATACGTATAATAGCGGACGGCATTCGGGTGGAATGTCGCGTCAGCCAGCGAATTCGCGGTCCTCGCCTGCACCGTCGAGCGAGCGGGAGAGAGCGTGACTAGATGACGCCGGGAAATCCGGGTGCCCCGTTCGCTGCAATTCCCGCATGACACCCACCACTGAGATTGCCTGGGGTTGGATAGCAAGTGCTGAAGGTAAAATTGTGATATCAGATTCCCCCCTTGAACAGTGGGATGCGTGATTCCGCGTTACAGCTCGTGTCTTCTCAAGGACAGCGTTTTCATCGCAGCGCCGATGCCCATCTAGTGGCACTCCCACGAGTCGTCCCGACCGACAGGCACCGCCTCTCGTGGCACTACTCGATGCATCCGACGCGAGGCGCCTCTAGTGGTCACTCTCGGTTGTCTGCGTTGCGTGTCGACACGTCGCGTACTATAGCTTGTGGATTGTACGCCGAAAAGGTTTCATGAGTTACGGGAAGGCTCTAGTCAGTGTCCGTGAGTGGCGCGAAGTGAAATGAAGTCAGCAAGAAATGAAATTAATACAGAATCGTGAAAGCCGTGTTCGTAGCAGACACTCGCTATGATTGTAAGTATATAAATAAATATAAGATATAATATACTCCATATATATATATATATATTTATAGTATATTACATATATCTAGCAAAGGGCAGATGGAAAGGGAGAGAGAGAGAGAGAGGAGAGAGAGAAGTAGAGAGGTGGGGAGAGGGGAGAAGAGAAGCCTTCAGATATGTTACCTGCGTATGCGGCTCCCTGTCATCGATTAAGGCTGCTGAAACTACTGATAAGGAATGAAGACACGGGATTATACAGTCGCGGAAACGAAAAAAGAACGAAATAGTGAACGAGTATAGTTACCAGTGAACCCGTATGCGTCATGTATAGGGATAACAGCTGGTATCTCCAACAACTGTCGGTAGAGTACTAACGTGTTGTATTGCGTGCTTTTTGTGTAAGCAATGTCAAGGAGCACATGAATCAAATTTACCTATAAAAAATAAAAAATAGCCCCTACGCTTGTCTATACTGGAGTGGTAGATATATAGCTATACTAATATATATTAGGTATATAAAATATTAATATATTAATATTATATATATGTGTGTGTTGTGTGTGTGTGTGTGGTGTGTGGTGTGTGTGTGTGTGTGTAGTGTGTGCTGTGTGTGTGTTGTGTGTGTGTGTGTGGTTGTGTGTGTGGTGTGTGTGTGTGTGTGTGTAGTGTATGGTGTGCTGTGTGTGTGATGTGGTGTGTGTGTGTGTGTGTGTGTGTGTGTGTGTGTGTGTTGTGTGTGCTGTTGTGTGGTGTGTGTGATTTGTGGCAACACTATATGCATCTACCGCAGAATTTAGCACATCTTTGAAACTGTATTTGTTTTTTAAGAACACCGCGAGTATTTGTTGAGGAGCTGGCGGCATGTTTTCACATCAGGACTTACAACAAAAGGATAGCACGACTGAACTGCAGACGTACAAGTTCACACTGTGATCAATTAACCCGCAAACCTCACTATGTGCGTTGTGAAATTATTGCTTTGTGTTATCGTGTGATCTAGTACGTATGTCGCTACGTCTGTACGCAGGATAACAGCTATTATTTCGTATTAAACTCAACGCAGAGAACAACTCTGCTAACAGCAGAAAATATCCGATGCTTATACAACAGCACCATAATATTTACATCAAAATATCTTATCACGTGCGTGAGTACATTTAATTAATCAATAGTTAATAGTTTCAATTGTAAAAAAAATCGTTACTAAAATATCAAGCAAAATCTTGCCATCTCCACGTAATAAGTTAATGCAATAACAATCGTATACAAAACTATTTACATATTCGCGTATTGTATGCTGCTATATACACCAGCAGAATGTCATATACATGTGTGCCGTGATCTACAACGATTACTGCATAGATATAATTATTAATGCGTGCTGCATTATACACATTATACCAGGAGTTCATGAGGAAAATGTCTCATTAACTCCTGATTATACGGATACATTATACATTATACGGGATTGCGACTCGCGCTGGTGCTGCTGCTATATAGTAAAGAGGCAATTATCGCCATAAGCCTTGCGGCATTAAACCACCGCACGAGAGGCCGTCTGTGGTGCAAGCCCGTGTTGACAACACTGCAAATTGCCAAAAGAATCAATACCGCATGTAATCGTATTAAAAATCTCCCTTTCCCCGCGCCAAGGATCCGCCATAGAGGACGGCACTGTGGCAATATTGGACTGATGGTACGGGGGTGGTGGGTGGTTATTAGTGAGAGGACGACAAGAAAATACGCACAATTGTTCGGAACATTATTTCATGTGTGAGGGAGGGTAATATAATCAATCAAGCAGCTGCACAGGCGCTACTAAGTCAATTGCCTTTACAAAGGGTTAATGGTTTCTGATCGCAAGTGCGCGACATTGTTTGTTAAAAAACCAATTAGATTATATATATATAGTATATATGATATATATATCACCGAGGCTAATTAATGTCTCGGTCGAGTGGCGCTGATAGTCGTTATACGCGTTTACAGCGCATAGCGCAATGATTCCGCGCCCTAGCGGCTTGCATAAATCAAGATAATGCAACGTCACTGCAATTAACAACACATGAGCAGCACGCGTATTAACCGATGTACATTCCATAATATATATGCATCTTATTAAAGGTGTGATTGTCTCCCGCGCAGATTATAACATAGGAGATCGCAATACCAACAGCAGTGATGGCGTACTGGGATTGGTTCTTCTTCTTCTTTTTCTTCTTCTTTTCAAATGTCTTTCTCTGTTCTCTCTTTCTCTGTGTGGCGTTTTTTGCTTTCTTAAATCGCGCATCCTCTCGTTCTCACCGGTTGTACTTCCCGTCCCACGTCTCTCTCTATTCTGTTCTTTTCGTCTCTCCGGTCTCTCTCTCATCTCTTCTCCTCGTCTGTCTCTGTTCTCTCTCTCCTCTCTCTACTCCATCTCTGCCTTCTGCTCTCTCCTGTAATCTCTCTCTCTCTCTCCTCGTACTGCTCTGTCATCTCTCTAGCTCGTCCTCCTCGCTTCGCTGTCTCCCTATCGTCTCTCTCGCCACGTCGCTCTCCCCTAACTGCTGTCCCTCTTTCTCTCAAACTCTTCTCTGTCGTTTGAGGGCCTTAAGGTGCTCTTCGGGTCTCGGTTGCATGATGAACTGTCTCATTTCTCTCCCTATCCGAATCTGTGCCTCTCTCCTCCGTTCTCCTCCGTCTCTTCTCTGCACCGACGCCCCCTCCTCGCCCGTCCTCTCTTCTCTTTCCTCACGTCTCGTTCAAGTCACGGATGGAGGCGGCCGGCTGAACCGTGCGCGAGCAAGACAAACTTCACGTACGCCGCTCACTAGCTACCGATCGCGGAGCCCCGGGACACGTACAACAACGACACGTCCGGACGCAGGACAACCGCTGATCACAGCCTCACACCGCGGACGCAACTGGCGCCACGCACGCTGGGGGAGGTCGAGCTACCCGCATATGTGACGCACGCAGCAACTGCACACGCGTGCTGATGAGTCACTAGGTCAACAATACACACGTCACCGAGCATGAGGAGACTCCGCGGTTCTCCAGGGCGATGCACGTACGCACGTACGTACGCACAGCCACGGCACAGCACGCAGGCACACAGCACGCGCATCAACCCCACGGCCCCAGATCGTGCTGCACTCGCGCAATTCAGCGGAGGGCACTATACACTACGCCACGGGGTTGAGACCCCTAGAAATAAGCGATGGTACGTCAGGCGAATCGTCTATCCACGCCACGCACGCAGAACCGCACACGCATACGCACGCACGCACAACGAACACGTGCACGCGCATTCACATGCACGCACACATCGCACGCCAATGTTCCGGACTCATTTTGGGCCACCGATGCGTATGTGTTCTTCGAACACTGCGATAACCCAACCAGCATGCGCCCCATGCCGGTACCAGCATGGGGGCTGCCGACATTACTGTACAAGTCACACTCTCGTCAAACTCAGCGCTGCGGGCTGCAACGCAGCGGGCGTGCTGGCCACTCCGCGCTTTGTATGCAATCTTCATCGCCTTCCGGCAAATCTGAGAAAGAAAACATCCGGCGATGCCAGCCAATTGTTAGAGATATACAGGCAGATGTATGAATCATATATATATGTGTGCTGTAGTGTGTGTGTGTGCTGTGTGTCGTGTGTGGTGTGTGTGCTGTTGTGGTGTGTGTGTTGTGTGGTGCTGTATGTGCGTGTGTGTGTGTGTGTGTGCTGTGTGTGCAGTGTGCGTGTGCGCATCGTGGCGTGAGCGTGGTGCGTGGGTGCGTGTCGAGTGCCTTCCTGCTTGTCGTTGCGTGTCCGTGTGCGTGCGTGCCGATGCGAGCGAACGTGCGTGCGTGCCGTGGCGTGGTCGCGTGTTGTGTGTGTGTATGTGTGTGATGTGTGTGTGTGTGTGTGTGTGTGTGTGTGTGTGTGTGTGTGTGTGTGTGTGTGTAATTAAATTATATGTATAACATGTAAGGATAGCAATGAATTCATATTTACATAATAATAATAATAATAATAATAACAGCAGCAACAACAACAACAACAACAACAACAACAACAACAACAACAGCAGCAGCAACAACAGCAACAACAGCAGTATCAGCAGTGTCGGCTCACCATCTCGACAAGAGATATGTAGAGAAACATGCCGGCCGTCGCCGCGAAGATCCACTGTCGCACGTCGGCGTCAGCGCCGACAGATACGCCGACGAAGAATCCAGCGAAGCCAGTGAGAGCAGCGAGCAGGTTCAGGCCGAGGGCCTGCTTCACGGTGAGACCCAGCGACAGGAAGAGAGCGAAGTCACCTGCGGAGAACAAAGGGTCACGGGTCAAAGGATAATGGTCTAGCGCCAAGTCTGATTCAGGGTCAATGTCATTGCTCAATGGTTAAGGGTCAAGTGTGGAGGCTCTAGATTTAAAGTTTAATGTTGTCGAGGTTCAGGGGGGTTTACACGTACAAGATGTTCCAGCATGCAATTGTAAAATGCCGCGCACACATGCACGCACGCACACACACGCGCACGCACACACGCGCACGCACACACGCATGCGTACGCACGCACACACACGCATGCTTATCACGCACACACGCATACGTACGCACGCATAGACGCGGGCGTCCATTTCATGTCTAGATATGAGTTTCAGGGATTTGGAACGCTATGGCCTTACGCTCGTCTATAATTCGCAGCCTAGCAGCAACAAGCTCTAGTACCTAGTTCGTGCGGAAGTTCGTGGCATAGCACGGCTATGGACGTAGACATGCCGCCTTCGGTACTTCCGGCGAATGCAGCGCCAATAGCGAGACCATCGCTGACGTTGTGCATGATATCACCCATGAGTATCATCAGCGCCACCGTGTTGAAAGCTGCGAAAAAAATAAAATTACGTCTTTTTTTTAAATTTGAAAACATTTATCTTATTATTACATCGCGTTTATTTATTCGATTATTATGATATTTATTTGGCGTTCATTTATTTTTAATGTTTATTATTATAATTACGTGATATAATAATATACATAACTATATAATTGCACTATTATCGCGTCGAATGACGTCCTCACGTAATGGCAACCATCGCCAGCGAACGTAAAGTTTTGCCTCTTTTTTTCACTTCGAGGCTTAACGTGCCAAAGAATATTCCTCCCACCCACAAGTACAGAGAAGAAAAAAGAATGACGCACAGAAACGCATGACTTACATGAGCAGAAACTGCGTGCTCGTTCCCGTGTGTTGCTTGTTTTAAGCTTTGAGGTATTAGCGTTTGCATCGTGGGCTACGCCGTTAGTTGCGCCGTAGGGAAGGACAGTGGACAACGCACTGTCGAGTGTGGTTGTGCTGCCACCTCGCGACAAGTCCAGGCTCGACGTCTGTAGACAGCGGGAGACATTGTTAACGGCGACATCTGGCGTTATTAAATTGCGGTGCAAAATGAAATTGATATGAAAACGATCAGATAAATTCAGATAACAAAATGCGATATCAAAACGCAAATAATTAGAAGATTATTAAATGTTAAAAATTAATATTTGCCATGGAACGCTCGTGCGCTATTGTAACTTGTATGCATTTATTTAATTAATTCGATTTAAATTAAGAAGAATATGAGAAAAGCTGAGAGCTATAGGTTTTAAACCTCAAGGCCCCACGAAATAATACCAGATACGAATGATCAACGTTCACTATTATGGAATAACTTCATCAGATTTCATAATAGTATGAGAGTATGAATGTATTTCGCGTGATAACCTTTGTGTAAATAACCTAAAATAGTTTCGAGAACTATAGTTCAAGTCTAGCTGTCTTTGCTAAGCCGAATTAATGCACCAGCGAGTTTAGTGGCCACCAGATGGCAGTAGGCGACAAGAGCATAAAATACCCATTGATTGTGAACACTGATCTATATACTAATATATATATATATATATACATATATATACACACACACATATATATATATATATATATATACATATATATACATATATATATATACATATATATCTATACATATAGTTGGTATATAAAGATCAGTGACTGTGAACAGCCTTGGTGCTCACCAGATTTTGTCGCGACACCGACGATTGTATGTTGCTGCTCTGTCGACGCGTGTACTGCTTCAGGATAACGGGGTCCGGCACGTGACTGTGTCCCGTGCTCTTACGGAACGGACTGCCTCGCGTCAATGCCTCGTGGTCGGGAACGTGACTGTGACCGTGTCCACCTCCGCCGCCGGGCGCGTGGTCGGCGTCCTGTTGTCAAGCAACAAGCGCGAAAACTCAGCTACGGGGTCACGCGGGCAACGCTGTGGCTATATGCCCGGCAGCCGTCAGATATATGCCGGCTGCCGGGCATATAGCCACGCTAGTGGAGCGTAGTGGAGCGCCTAGTGGAGCGTTATTGCGGCACGAGTGCAATCAACATACGCTATGGTGTGCTTGATAGACACTAGGCTTGATAAAGCATTAAGAGTAGGCCCAGATATGTCCCCGTTATATAGTTAATTGCAACCTGATACGTTCCGACCCTTACGGGTTGGACTGGTGCCTCGTCGTTTTTACGTGGTGAAAACGTACGGAATATGCTGTTAAAATCGCCTGCTTTAATTTCCCCGGAAATCATATCGATTTAGGTCAAATGTTAATAGTCCCAGTAATTGACCCGGATAGATTTTCAACACATTCCACACATACGTATTAACTTCATGACCGTGTCAAATTGTTCACGCGTCAATAAAAACAATAACAAAATGGCGATTCGCAAATGTTAATGTAATACCGTTTCGGGGCCTTGCACCGAATCCTTGGCTAATTCCACTAATGTCTCAAAGACGAAGAATCCGTAGATGGCGCCCAAGACCGCCAGCAGCTTCAGAATCATGGGTTCTATAACGATATTTAGCGCCGTGCTGCCATCTACATTCTCATCTTCGTGGCCATGTGCTGTCTCCTTGTGTTCATGCCCACCTAACGACTAACAAAAAGATGCACACATTAATGTGTGTTATTGTTGTTATTGTTGTTGTTGTCGTTATTATTATTATCATCATCATCACTGCTATGACGAATACTGTTATTGGGGACAATTTACGATTTAGTTAATAACGGGGTAAATAAAATAAAAAATAATACAAAATTAAAAGGCAAACGATGCTGCTTGAACGCCAAGCCTTTGGTTGTCAAGAAAAGCCATCTCGTCTAAGCATGATCATTATGCCGGCCACGCGATGAAGCTACGGTCGCGAGAAAGAATTCTACTCACATGTGGTATTAGATGAAGCAGAGCGTCCCCAACCATGGTGCCGATAGCCAGAGCAATGAAACCCATCATGATGTAATGGTAGGAGACAGTACTGATGAAGGGGATCGTAATCGCACCAATCAGCGACAAGAGACTGATCACGAGGATCGCTAGAGCTCCGTATCCATACGCTGGAAAAGAAGTTGGCCAAAAAAATCAAGAACAATTTGTTGTTGTTGTTGTTGTGCCTTGCGGCGACAATTCAAAGGGTAGCATTGTCGTTTCTCTCGTGTTTGTTTGTGTCGTGTTTTTTTTTTAGCTTATAGTATGGCTGTTAATATTAAATGATTTGCTCTGCACCGCGGCACCACAAGTTGACGGTTGCGGCGAACTTGATACCTTTTTAAACTGACGCGATTAAATTTATTACACTTAGATATCATCATATATATATATATATAGTAACACGTTATAAATATATGATAGGCGTGTATACATATAAACTCGCTGACGCGATGTGTTCATGACAACTACGGAAATAGTTCCTTATCTAATTTGCAACAACGTTATCGGAACATTGACAGATAGATTTTATTAATTGGTGAAAATTTTGGTGCAACTACTACAACCTCTACTACGCAGTCGTGATCAAAAGACGTATGTATCGACTGAAAACATCACCTCCTCCCACTTTATCACTCTCCCTCCCCTCTATCTCTCTCTCTTCGCCTCTCCCGTTCTTTCACTCGCTTGTTTTCTCTCTCGCTCAACCATGCCAATTCTCCCTATTGCTTGCTGCTCCTCTCTATCCCTTTACTCGCATGTTGTCAACAATTTTCCTAACCACGATTGTTACTTTGGTAGTAATTTCGCACGGCAGCTGCCTCTGGTAACAACAGTCATAGGGTAATAACCGTGTTGCAAGTATCCGGTGGTGACAACATAAAGAACACTTATCCACCTAAACAACCTAATTAACCTGTGCAATATCAGGAGTAGATTATAGGGACTATTATCCCTATTATCCCTATTATCCCTATTATCCCTATTATCCCTATTATCTCTATTATCCCTATTATCCCTATTATCCCTATTATCTAATCCTGGCGATATGCATGTCAGGTGCATTGTGTAGCTTCTCCCGCCCCCCACGCTCCTCTCTCCTTCCCGCTCGCTCGCACTTCCTCTCCCTCTCCCTTCCCTCTCCCGTTATCTCGTTCGCTCTCTTTCTTTCTCTCACTCTCTTTATTCTCTTGTTCCCTTTTTCTACTTCTTACTATATATATATATAGTGTGTGTGTGTGTCTGTGTGTGTGCGTGCGTGCGTGCGTGCGTGTATGTGTGTGTGTGTGTGTGTGTGTGTGTGTGTGTGTGTGTGTGTGTGTGTGTGTGTGTGTGTATGTGTGTGCGTGCGTGTTTGTGTGCGACCGTGTGTGTGTGTGTATAATTATATTAGATACCTTCGAGTTTGGTTGGAGTGTATTGGTTGCTTTCTGTTTCCGTCTTTTTCTCGCAGGATTTGCTGACGATCTGTTGCAGAAGAGCTGGGCACGCTTCTATGAAGTCTGTCTCCGAAAGTCTATAAGAACTCGGGTAATCGAACACCTCCCATAGTTGCTCAGCCGTGAAACACTGCAGACGACAAACAAGAGGCGAAAATTATTAATTAATTAATTTATTTATTTATTTGTTTATTTATTAGTTAATTTATTTATTTACTTATTTATTACCGGTACGTTACAGTGATTATTAAGCGCCACCTACTATGTACAAAATATATCATCAATAATTAACTTATCTAGCCATTTATATCGAGCATCGCTATCACCATGGTAACCTAGTGCAGGCATTCACACA